CGTGCGCCCGAGGGGCTGTAGAACACGTTTGTTTGATCCTTCCCGGTTTGTTGTGGCACATACGTGTTCAGTCCACGGGATTTTCTGTAAATAAAAGTGGTTTGTTTGAGGATTGTTTCATCTCGCTGACACCAGCCGCGTCCATGCAGGAGCTGCACGCTGGCGCAGTTGCTCCTCTCTCGAGCTTTCCTGTTCCCGTGACTGTTCCCTGTCCAGCAAACTGTGGGTCGATGGGGTGGCAGAGCTTCAGCCGGGATTCTGGAGGCAGCCCGGCACTGGGAGGGAGGGGATGCTGGGCAGGGGCCCTGGACCAGAGTAGGATTGGTGCTTTTTATAAGGTGCTTTTTTCAGGCCACTGAGGAGAAGCGCAGCAGAGCCCCAGGTGAGCTCTGCGGTGGGTGTGGAGCTGCCTGCACTCCCTGGAACGCGGCTGCTGCTCTCGGTGATGGGCAGGAACCAGGGTTCCGCTTACCAATGCTGTGTGTGGGAGTGCTCATAGTGAATTTAATGGCATGTTACAGAGAAAATAAGTTCCTGTTTCTGATCTCGGCGTGCAATTTTCATTTTGTATCTCCAGAACATGTCTGTTCCATCCTGGCCTCCCTTCTGCGAAACCTGAGAGGGCAGCAGAGGACGCGGTTGCTGAATAAATTCACGGAGAACGACAGCGAGAAGGTGAGCGCTGAATGCTATCTGCAGCCACTGAGCTCCCGGGCTGGGAGGATGCTCCATAGCGGCGGGGTGCCCGCCTGCACTCGCTAGGTAACTGAAAAGCCGTTATCGTACCTGCCTGCGGAGACCTGCGCTCTCCCGGGCCGCTGTTGGCTCATTCGTGCTGTTATCTACAACCGGAGAATGGAGATGTCTCTGGTGCTCAGCCTCCCACATCGCTGGTGCGCTTGGTTTCGGGTGCTCTCGCGCCTGGTGCCAGCGATTCGTGGTCCTGGGCTGTGTCTGTGCCGAAGCCCGATTGCAGAACACATGTCGTGTGCTGTCCCGTTGCGCTGGCTCTGTGAGACCAGGGCGCTGCGGAAAGCTGCCAGTTTTCAGCAAAGTTCTTCCGCAGAGAGTTTAGGCATTGCTGTAGTACACGTTTAACAGTCCCCCTTCCTCTCCTAGGATGTGTCGCTTTAGCGGTGTTTACTCTGGGAAATTCTTTCCCAAATATTTACATGGTGGTGGATAGAGCTCTGAAACAGAAACAGCAGCTTTTGCAAAGTAGCAATTCCTGAGGGGTTTGTAAATTCCACCACTGGGGAAACACTGGTTCCTTAGTATTCCTCATTAGTGTGTTTTAAAGGTGTTTTTCGTAACCTGTTCTGCTAGCTGCAGAAAATCTCCCTTTACTGGAGTGGCTTTCGGTGGCCTCGTACAGTTCAAAGGAGAGCAGGAGAGCCGTAACGTGGCCGATACATTTAACATAAGCACATAACAGCACAGACAGAAAGGTCCACTGAAAAAACCAGGAGAACTGGAGAGCCACAGCCCAGGAGAGCGAGCCAGGGACACGTGTCTTTTAGCTGGAGTTGACGAGACCATATTGCGATGTGGGATTACGTCCAAGTGCCTGCAGACTCGGCGTGCTCAGCCGACCAGCGCTTGTACCGTCCTTCAGTAGCGTGTTCCTTCTGTGGGTGACAGAATTGCCCAGTACCCTGTGAGGACTGCAGCTGGGAGGAAAACAGCATAGCATGAAGGATTGAAGATGATTGCATTGTTCTTTTTTCTGGCTGAGGTCTCTCTCTTCTGCCCTTGCAGGTTGATCGGCTGATGGAACTGTATTTTAAGTACCTGGATGCGATGCAGGCGGCTGATAAGAAGATCGATGGAGAGAAACATGTATGTATTGCTTAAGTTTTGCCAGCTCATGTCTACAGTAGCTCTGCACAGGCATGTCCTCTGTCCAACCCTTCTGGCTCAGCCGGGTCACTCTTCTGAGCCGTGCCTTCATACCTGTGCTGCCCTGCTCTCCAGTTCCCGTTAACCTCAGATGGAATGGGCTGAGCCCTTCTCTTCACCAAGTGCTTCTGGCGTTTTCTCAGGGTGAATTTTACTAGGAGGCCCTAATTCTGTGCATCAGTTTGCCTTCGCTTTTACTTGGCTGCAATCTTGCTTGGTTTGGCAGATGGAGAGTAAGTGAAATGCAAAGAGACAATTACATGATAATGTGCGAGGCCTCCTACCCTGGTCTTTAGAGTTCTGATCAGCTGCGAGAAAGCCTCTGTTTTGATTAGTTAGACGAGGCTGCAGCCAAAGGCTGGCGTGCTCTCTGCACACCAGCAGTGAATCGTTTTGAACGACACGAGCCCTGGTACCATGCAGTGCTCTCTTGGAACTGAGGCTGGAACAGACTTTTTGAAAGAGAGCGAGCTGTTGGAGTCAGGAAGCAGCTTGCAGAGCTGTTAGCGAGCTTGGCCAGCTTCCCACAAGATTATCTGTATCAGCACTGAAGAGGGCGTGAGATTGATTAGCGCTGATGGAGAGTAATCACTGCGGCCGCCGTCCCCGCGCGCGGGTGAGCTCGGCGTGCCCCGGGCTGCAGCCCCCTGCCAGGCTCTGACAAACAGCTGGCTGCCCGCGGCCAAGGCCACTTCTCCGGGCACTGGCAGACATTGCGAGGGCATCGGAGCTCGGCAGTGCTGCTGCTGCTCAAACGGGCACGCGGGTGACTGATGAAGGGAATCGCTTTGCTGCCAGCGCTCAGGCTCCATATGGACAGCTGCGGCTTCACAAATGAACGGTGGCCTGGAGAAAAACAGCCTTTACCCTTTCCTGCCATCCCTCCACGCTCCATTCATCCTCCTCGCAACAGAGCAAGAGGTTATTTATTCTTTACATTTCAGGGTTGGTGTGTGGGTTTCGGAACTCAAAAACCAGAAGGGATTTTTCTGGATGAAGTCCTGCAGTGGCCGCGCAGAGCCCAGAGCTCGTGTGCGTGCCCTTTATCCAAAAACAACTGAAGCAGTCCGCAAACGTGAGCACGTGTAGCCAGCAGCCAGCACAAAACAGGGGCAAAGGGAATTTGAGTACAAAGAATCTTGTGTAGAAGCTCTTTAATTAATAATATTAACCTATTCATGTCTACTGGTGCCCACGAGAAGAGAACCCAAGGAACCTCAGGTTTTCCTCCTGGGTCCAGCAGGCTGCTGTGCTGCTGCAGGTCCGTGGGCTGGGGCGGCTGAGTAAACGGTCTGTTCATCCCTCCTGTTAGAGCCAGTAACAGGATTTGGCAGAAACATCTCCTCTGTGCGATGCACTGAGCACAAGGTGGGTGAAATACACTGCTGAGGGTCCTTCCTAGCTTGGGACACTCCTGGAACTATGGTTTACTTTGTCTGTAGTGTCCTCAGGTGGCCGGTGGGACACGGTCTGCTGAGAGGTGGGGTGGCTCAGGCGGTTCCCCACGCACAAGTGGGCAAAAGCCCTCGTTCTCTCTGTCAAACCGCAGCGGTGCCTGGCTGTGACAGGATTTATGCAGCGCTTTAGTGTTTCTGGGGTGGCACATGAATCGTTGAAGTGGATGGTACGGACACTTGGTCCTTCAGGAACTCCGGGGGCTCCTGACCTTGCTCTTGCAGTAGAGGATGTTGTACCCCAAAAATCTGGGTTACAGATCCTCACCTTTCTCCCTGCTCCAAAAGCTGCCTGGTGAGATTTTGCAGGCTCAGCCTGCAGCAATGAGAGCGAGGTTCGGGTCTGATCGACAGGATCCTGGTGTAAGGCTTGGATTACGAGGAGCTAAAACCCGATTATACCAGGAACGACTGAGCGTGTCGTGCCTGATGTTTTATCTTTAGCAGCGCAGCTGGCATAAGAAGCTCCTGCTCTTGCAGCTCTCTTCCTCTTGCTTTCTTTTAGCTTGGCTTACTTCCACGAGCTTGTTTCAGCCCAGCTCTTCAGCCTGTGGATGTGAAGGTGTGGGAATAGCTGAGGGCGGAAGGGACGGGAGGAATTTCTGAAGGCAGCTGGGGAAGAACTGCACCCTGAACCTGGACAAGGAAGCAGGACGAGGTGTGAAGGGAGAACTTCCCTTCTTCTCAGTGTTACCTGCTTGTTTGCCGCTGTGGGATCTGTTCAGGGGTGATCAGAGCCGAGAACTTGGCGATTACCCCGATTGCCGTGTGAAACCCAGCAGTAGGGTCCCCGTGAGCAGTTGTTGCTACACCTGATGCCTGTCTTAGCACTTTTCTCAGAGTTTTTAGTTATTGAAACCTAGAAAACGTCTTGTCCCCCTCAAATTCTTTACTTCTTTCTGTAGCAAATGGTGCAAAACCCTGTGGCTTTTAACTCCCTTTAAAATGAGGGATAATTACAGGCGGCAGCAATAGCCTTAGTGATTTCTAAAAATGTCGGGAGAAGACAGGAGATGGTTTAATGTTTTTATAGTTCCACAGAAAATTATGCTCAGCAGGTTTCTTCGATAAAATATTCTCACCAGACACCTTGCGCTATAATGACTTACAAATTGCATGCTAATTGTGCTACGGTTAAATCATTCCATCCTGGGAAGGGAGAGGTGGGGCTCCCAGGATGAGCGCAGTGACCACAGGCTGGGATAACCAACGCAGGAGTTTGTTCTAGCCCAGCGCTTCGGTTTGGACAGACGGGACTGCCCGGCGCTGCACGGAGGGTGGGACGCAGCGTCCTGCCAGGGCTGGGCTCATGCGGGTGGGAGATCGCGGCTGCGGTCACGCAGGGGGGCTGGATCGCGCTGGCTGCACTAGGAGCTCTTCCAGCACGCGGCCAGCATGCCGAGGCGAGCTTTGAGCGTTCTTGCCGAGGCCGGTGGCTGGTGGCTCTGTTGGTATCACGGCTGCCCTATGACAAGAACCTGTTGCCGGTTCTTGCTGCTGAAGCCGAGCTCGTGCTCCGGCAGGAGCTGCTGCTGTTCTCCCGACGCGGAAGCGACGGTGTGTTTTGTAGCACTCGCAATGAGCTTTTCAGCTCTTGCAGATTGGTGGCTCGATTTCCAGGAATTCAGGCATGTTTCTGCTTGTCGGGCAGAAATGAACAAAGTCCTTCCCTCGGAAGAGGGCTCTGATGGTTTCTTGTGTGGTTCTGGGAGCTCTTTGGTCACCTTGGTGTGACCTGTCCTGGCCGCAGTGGAGCCGTGCCTGGCTGGCCTCGCTCCTGCCCAGGGCTCAGTCCTGCCCGGTCTGTGCTCCTGTGGTCACCCTGCTGCAGAGACCGTGGCGTCTGCAGCCTCCATGTGTGAACGAGGCTCTGGGGGACGTCGTCGTCGCAGCTGTGAGCTGAAGGCAGATGGTCCTGAGCAGGCTCGTTGCGATGGTCTGACGTCACCCCGGGCTCCTGCTGGCTCCTCTCCCGCTGCAGGCGTCAGTCCCTGTCCCCTGTGTGTCCTTCTGGCCAGCGGCTCAGCAATGACCTTGGGTGCAGCTGGTCTGAGAGCAGCTCCTGCGCACGGCTGGCACCACTTGTCCCTCCCCGGTGACACAGATGGAAGGAAATAAGGGGGGAGGATCTGTACCTGGTGTAGGAGATGAGTCACGGTCACTGCTTTGGTGCCCGGCCATCCGGACCCTGCTCATCTCCCCAGACCTGGCGTGGCCTCGCTGTCCCCCGGCGAGGATGTTAACCAGGATCCCGGCGGGGTTCTTTGTTCCCGACCAGTGCCCGTCCCTCTGCTCGGCCCAGCGTCGGGAGGTCGGTGGGGGGCGAGGGAGGAGGAGGATGCGGAGGACCCCCAGCCCTGCGCCGGTGGCTGCGCGGCACTGACGTGATGTTTTGTACAGCGCTGGCAGAGCCACGGTGTCTTTAGGTTTCGAGTCTCTACTTGACACCTGGAGGCCTGTCAGTCTTGCCTCATTAGTGGGAGAGAAGCTCATTTTAGCTTCACAGAAGCCCATCTTATTGCTGTCTTCTCCCATCAGCAAGGGGCATCTCAGCACATATTGTTGGCAGATTAGAAATGGCATCTGAGCGCTCGTTTGGAGGGGAGCAGCTTGACAGCTTTGAAAGAGAGGCAAAGTGTAAAGGTGGCTCCTTGGTACTGTACGGGGAGGCGGGTTAGCGTTGGAAGGGTGGCTGTGGTTTAAAAAAAAAAAAAAGATTGTGGAAAAGCACCTTAAAACTGTACTTGTCTTCTAATTCATATCTGCTTAATTTACTAGCACAAAGTAATCTTGCTTCTCTGTCGAGGGGCTGCTCTAACGGCTGCCTGCGCCGTGCAATCAAGACAGCGGTTACCTGGATCCGGCTCCTGTGATGGCCAGGCTCGGATCAGAATACAGAGCAGACACAGTCTTTGTTCCCTGCTCTGGAGAGTCAAAATCCTGGCCTGCTCGTGGTTTTCTGCTCAGGGATTCAGCGCTGTGAGAAGAGCAGCCAGCAGGGCTGCGTGCGGTGCGGAGGGTGAGCAGCGGTTCGGGAGCTGCCGGCTCTCTGGGGTGGGCTTTTCCAACGCTGCCGTCACCGGCTGCCAGCTCTCGCCAGACTCAGCGCTGGTTCGCCCTGAGACCAGATTTGATCAGATGCACGCCGTTTGGCATGGATGCAGGGGGAGGAAAGTCACTCCTTGCACAAAATGGGATTTTTCTTATTACTGGCAAGAGCTTGCGTGCAGGTTTTGCCCAGTCACACCTGCGCCCATGGTTTGGACAACCTGGAGCGAGCGGCAGTTGTGCAGATGCCGGAGCGCACAGGTCCTGATGCTGCAGCGTCCTGGAGCCTGCCCAGAGCTGCTGGCTTCGTGGCGCTGGTAACCAGGCACTGGTTTTTAAACTTAACTTCTTCCACTGGCAAGCTGGATTTCTAGGAGGAAAGGAAATGTGTTTCTTTCTCTCTCCCTTTCAGGCTGCAGCGTGTGATTCTGTTGGGCGAGCATCCATCACACTCTCTGCGGTGGGAAGCACACAGGGTTAATTTTCCCTCTTATGGCTGGAAGACTCTACCTGTAATTAGATGGGAGGACTGGGCTTGACAGCGTGGGGGAATCGGGTAGCCTGCATCAGCTCTGGTGCTGGTGACCTTGCGAGTGTTTGCTTGGAGTGCGTGCGCCCCGAGGAAGCGGTTGGTGCTGAGTGGCGCAGGTACGGTGCTCGCGCCGGTGATGGCTCTAATGAGAAAATATTGCTCCGCTGGCGTGTGCCCACCTGCCAGCCGCCTGCATAATAAATCACACGCGCTGCAGCCAGCTAGCAGGGTCTGACAAGCTGCTTCCTTTATTTAAGAACAAAACGAAAAAACAAACCCCAGAATGCAGAAGGTCACCGATGACATCAGTGGCTGTGGCCGGTCGGGCTCCGCGAGGATGGCGGGTTCCGTCGTCAGGGAGCTGCTCCGGGCTCGGTGCCGCGCTGCTTTCCCAGGGTTCTGAGGAAGATGCTCTTGAACGAGGCGGATGGAATGGCCTCTTCCTGCTGTCTTTGGGCTCGCTTCAGGCAGGTCTTGCTCTGAACGCGGTGTGTGCAGGGAAGGAACGCCCCATCGCGTGCCCGCAGCGGGCAGTGGTGGTCTACCACCAGCCCGGCTGGGGCTCGGCCCCGTCAGCGTCCCTGAGAAACGAAGCTGGAAGAGCAAGGCTGGGCGTGGTGGGGCTGTGCTTGTGCGGAATTTTCAGACCTGTTTTCTCATTCTTCAGTCAAGGATAAAGTTGGAGCCCTGCTAGGTCTTTGGGTCTCTGGAGTCACGTTCTGCTCTGCTTAACAGCACCCTCAGTTGGCCAGCAGAAGAGCAGGTTTTTTGTTCCATTTTGACAAAGAACTTGTAAATAACGGATACAGTGTTGTGTTCTGCCTTCAGTCTCTAAGTGCTCAATTTAGAAATGTAATTTGTATGTTTAAATTAACATTTTAATTTGCAGGTGGACACACTTCACAACCAGCCAAGGCAAAACCTTGTGGAAAATGGAAGGAAATGTTTTGTGAATTTAAATGAATTATTAAAAGAATTGCTGCTTTGGTGAGAAATACATGGATGTGAATGGTCTGAGGAGCAAAGCATTTCTGGAGAAGCAGACATCACCAACACTTTGCCACTACTTGGAGAGACAGTCATCACACCTTTTCGTTGTGTTGCTTTGCAGGACATGGTGCGTCGAGGAGAGATAATAGACGATGACATGGAAGACGAATTCTATCTCCGTCGCCTGGATGCCGGTCTCTTCGTTCTGCAGCTCATTTGTTACATCATGGCAGAGATCTGCAATGCCAACGTTCCCCAGGTGAAGCTGTGTGCAAGGCTGGCAGATCACCTGTGTTTCCATCCGTGATGCAAACAAGACCCTAAATCCTTCCAAATCCCATCTCCTTGAATCATCCTCTCTTTTACTGGGAGGAAACCTCCTGCTTGTCGCACGTGTGTCCATACAGCTGCATCAAGCTCTGGCAGCGAGGAGGGCAGTAGTGGGTACAGCAGCTGGTCATTGTCACCGAGTTCAGGCAATCTGCCGTGAGCGAGGGGACAGTGGGGAATGGAAGGTCCCCGTTTGCACCGCTGCTGAGGGGGCAGTGGAAGGCACACACTACAGCAGGTGACTTTTCTCAATCCGTGCAAGATCCGGCATCTCTGCCGGCATGAGCACACTGGGGTTTGTGAATACATTCCGTGGTTACTCGTACCTGTGCTGCATCCCTTCCTGAATGTTTCTGGCTACGTGCTCAGGGCTCTGGACTAGCAAGGCTGGGCTGGGTTTTGTGGTGCTCAGGGATTCTGCTCTTCCCTCAAAGAAAGTGGGAAAGAGGGGGGTTGTGCATGCTTTTGTGTTGTATTGAAGGTGACTTTTTTTCTCTCCTGTCCCCAATCAGATCCGTCAGAGAGTCCATCAGATTCTGAACATGAGAGGCAGCTCCATTAAAATCGTTCGACACATCCTAAAGGGTGAGTTGAGATATTCCTGTGCCTGTGTCTCACCTCTGCCAGGGACAGCCTGGTCACCGCTTTATAGGATGAGCTTTCCCCGTGTAATTCTCCTGACCTCCTGAGCATCGTCAGGCAGCAGTGGAGTGGTGTTCTGAGGTCTGGGCAGGGCGGGAATCCCCCTGGTGAGAGGTGGGCTTTCCCCTGGGGTGGGGACACTTGCTGTTGTGGAGCATCACTTCGTGCTGCCGGCAGCTGCAGGCTGGCTGGAGCTCTCTGCTGACATGAACGCTAGAGTAAATATTTAAGGGAAGTGTATCTGCGTGCTAGAAGGAAGAAGAGTGGAGTCCCATCTTTCATTAACACGGCCCTGCGCTTCACCATCTGCACCGTGTTAGTATCCGTGGTGTATTTGTCTTGTTCTTAGTGTCAGATTAATATGGATTATGGCATTAAAGTATCCTCTGTAGCTTTCACATGTAGCTGTTGTGATTTGCAATCCTAGTTTTAAAGCACTGCTTGTTATTTTTAATGCTGGTGTTGAATGAGAGCGATGGTGTTGGAGCGCTGGCTCTCACCTGCAGCCGCTGTCCTTCGGCAGAGCAGGACCGGCGAACGGGGCAGGACCGGGAGCACCCCCAGCTGCAGGGAGCCGTGCTGCCCTCGGGGTGCCCCTGGTTTAGCAGAGGGGACCGGATGGGATGTCTGTTCTGCTTTTAATTGTGATACTCGACAATTCCTGCCTCCCAACGGTCTGTCTCCAGTGTAGGGCATGGCTCACATCCATTGCTGCACCCCTTGCTGCACATGCCCCCCTCGCGTTCTTGTCTTTGCTGATTTACATCCCAAGCTGAATCAGACGGCAGCAGCATTAAAACCTCATCTGATTCTTTCCTTCACGGGCGGTGACTTGCATCGTCGTTGCACCGTGTCTCCCCGGCCGCGGGCTGTACGGCAGGGTGGGTGCTTGGCTGTGACGCGTTCTCTGCCCTGAGAGGCCACGGGTGGCGTGTTAATGACACGGGTGATGGAGATGGTGTTTGGGGCGCTCTCGTCGCCTCTTCCCAGCTCTCGTGCTTGCCGGCGTTAGAGGCTTGTGACCTTGAACGTGTCGGTGGCCCTCGGGAATCACGGGAACGGGGCCCAAACGGTTCCTGCTGGGTCGGAGCAGCACGGAGCGTGTCTGCAGCCTGGTGATAATGCATTTCTGCAGCAGGTGTGCACCTCTGTCTGCGGGTGTTGTCAGCACAGATTGCTGAACTTTTAGCAGAGACCACGGCCAAGCCCCTGCCCCTCCAGGGAGCGGGTTTGTGGAGCCCCCGTCCCTGTTGGGGCGGTTTGGCTGAGGACCCTGGGGGTTGGCGGGGGATTTCTGACATTGAACTGGTGTCTGAACTGTGGGATTGTCGATCCCAGACAGCTGAGAGAGCGGGAGCCTGGAGCTGAGACATTTCCAGGCCACTTCTGAACTTGCTCTCAGGACAGATGAGAGCTGGTTTATTTTTACTTTTCGCTCGGTGTTTTGCTCTTGTTCAGTTTTTATTTTCTGTTTTTGCATACTAATTAGGTGCTTGGTTTTTAGTTTGATTTTTTATGGCCTACATATTCTCCATGTTTCTCTGGCAACCTGACAGCTGATGGATCCCTTGGGGTTGCTCAGAATTACTTATAATGCAAGTGGGGAAGCAAGGCGGTTTTCTTACGGTAGGGCTTTCAGGGGGGAGGAGTGGGCAGGGAAGAACCGCAGGCTCATTAAATGCATTTCTGCAGCCTGACCAGTCCTCCCGCCGTTCCTCGTTCTTGCCCTGGGACGGGGAGTTTCTCTTTGGAGGAACACAGCTGAAGGGTGTGTGCCCTGGGGGGGATGTGTTGAGGATGGAAATGAGTCTATGATGGCAAGCATCTGGGCAGTTCCCGGTCTCCGTCTCTCCCATCGGGAACGGATCGAGGCACAGACCTGTCTCACCGGGATGCTGGTCCCCGGAGCAGGAGCGCACGCCGTTCCGTACGGCCCCGCAGAGACTCGTCCTGGTCCCTGCTCCCTGGGGGAGCCGCGGCAGGGGTCCTCCCGGCAGCACCAGGGTGTGAACGGCGGGTCAGCGGAGGTGGTGGGCACCCCGGGGGGTGGGGTGCCCGCTGAGGGTTACAGACCAAACCTGTTGGCACGGGCAGTCGGAAATGAAGGGTCGGTGTGTTACGAGGACTCTGCTGAGCCCTTGGTCCCTCGGTACATGCGGCCGTTGCAGCCTCCCGTCTCCGTTACAAGCTGCGATATTTCCCTATTGATTTTTGCTGTTCTGTAACCATTGTGTTTTGTCTAATGAAGCAGAAACCAATCGTGGGTCCTTTCCCTTTGTGCAGCTGCAGCAATGTGTGAGCTCTGTTTAACTGCTGGCAAGGGGAGCTTACACTGAATTTTTTTTTTTGCTGTCTCACTGAAGTGGTGGAATTTTAAATAAAAAAGTAAATAGATAAAACCTTGGTGGGAGGTTGTTTTTTTTTGAGCCTGGTTCTGTGGGATTTATCAAGTCTCTTCAAATTATCATTAGCAACTGTTGGTAACCAGTAAACACTCTGCCTTGGGAGTCACGGGGATTTCAGTCTTACGAAGCCTAAATATTTAGAAGGAAAAATGCTGAGCTTCTGGATGAGATCAGAGGCATTTGTGGCTTGCTTTTGTCTGAGGGACCTCGCTGGGACAATAGAAGGGCTGTGTCATTAGCAGCACTCGCAGTTTCCCTGCTCGGTCTCGGTGTTCAAGTGCTCTGCCCGTCCTTAGACCCAACACCAGGGCTGCCCCCGAGCCCGCTGCCCGTGGAGCGGATGCTGCGAGAGCAGAACCCTGCCTGCGGCGGGGCGACCCGGGCTGC